GGGAAAGCAGTAGTTATTTTCAGTGATTATGAGAACAACATTGACCATTCGTCCATGCCAATAGAGCAGGCACGAAGCCAGGATTATCTGACTACGTAGCTGCTATATAAGGTCTCTCCTGGTTCCCCTACCTGGCAAACTAATGATCGTACGGTAATCCATAATGTCATCGATATTCAGAAAACTTACTTCTAAACTTTCCGGCTTCCTTGCTCCAGTATACCTATTAAGTATTTACAGATAAATATCTCCGGGACTCAGGGATGGGATCCTTAGTCACTTTGTGCTCAGGATCCTAGCTTCGTGAGAGATTACTGAAAATCTGACTTTTGGTTGGCGGCATACACCAAGAAAAACACTTAGTGGGATTCACGACTGAATTGGATTGTTCATGAATTGGGCAATGTCCATGAATTGTACATACGATGATGCATGAAATGACTATTGACCATTGACGAAAATGTCAGATAACCAACACTCCACACTCCACAGACATAAGCAAATTGAGCTATTATTATCAAATGTGTTCCATACCTACCGTACTTGAGGGTTAAATGAGGAGGGGTACCTGTTAAAAGTTCAAGAAACTTCCTAGGATATCCCTTCAGTGCATACTGTAAACATAGTACTATAAACTATTACTATCAAATGTGTTCCATACCTACCTTACTATAGGTATGGAATTTATAGTATAACAATTATACTATAAATAGTACATAGAGCTTGGGTTTGTCTGATAACTGGAGCTAGTGTAGAGTTTTAACACTGCTACAACACCGGACCCCTAAATACCTCTACAATATAATGCAACAATGAGGAAGAGGTGTCTGGCAGACAATAGCACTAGTCAATTAGTAGTCAATATTCATTGGGCAAATATTACAGGTCAAGACTGATATTTATTTATAGGCAGCCTGCCTTATTATGATGCAGATTTCCTTGTCATTATTCAGCAATTATTTAGGCTTACGTTGTAGAATAACTAAGTGCGAAGGTTAATTTAGAGAAGCAAATCATCAGAATTAAGGAAGCTCTTCAAATTGGCACCAATTAGACATGTCTCCAAATTCCTTACGTTAATTTTACATGCATCTACTTGGTTCATCTGCGAATTTAACATAAAGTTAGATTAAATGCCAAATTTTACCAGTAGCCATGGCCAACAAGCACATGGAAAACGCTCCCATTTCAGGGTTGTATATAGTATGAGACAGATGAGTATAGACAAGAGATATAATGTAAATTATTATGAGCCGTATCCGGATTTCAAGATGACTCTAACTGACCCACGAAACAACAAATCATTAACATTGGACAATTGTGAACAAATGCGTGATAAAATAATGTCTTATGAAAGAACAATAAATAAGTTAATTGATTAAAGATTCGATTTGAATCAAATCATCAATTTCTACTATACAAAACAATTAAAGACGGATATAAATTCATGAAGCGACAACGCCGAGTTAGATATAACCGACTAATGCAAAGTCTCTTCCAAGTTCCACTACCGCTATAATACTATTAAATTAGCAAATAGTTGAGCAGATCTATAAACGTAAACTTGTACATAGACTCTCATGAGATGGTGTGTGAGCGTGTGGTAATTGTTAATCTTACTTTTTGATTATCTATTTAATTGTATAATCACAACTACAATTAAATTTATTGAGAATTATGTAATGTAACGTGATGGAAATATTTTAAGCGGGCATATCCAGTCCAAACCCAGGATGCACGACATGAAGAATTCGTTATAACTTTGTATGAAAAGCATTAATATAATGATAAGGTCAGATAACTTGTTACTAGTTACAGAGTGGGGCTGTGAAGCTAGACACTAGACAGTGACACTAGACACTAGACACTAGACTGTGAAGCAAGAACGCTCATAGTGCCTGTAAATATTGTACTTATAGTGAATGAATAATATTTGATACATAATGACAATATCTCCATTATAATTCAAAATTGTCTTCGTGTATGACTGCCCAAGTGCCCACGTGTATGACTGCCCACGTGCAATCGCACTATTGACCTACCGCACTTAAGTGCACTATCGCCCGTTATTCGTTCTATCAAATTTATGTACTTCAACTAATCAACTTGGTATCGCTGTGTGTAATGACTAATGAGATATGATCGACATGCCCATACCAGCTTAAGAACGACAAATTTAGTCTACCATAAATTTAGTCAAACTTTTGACTAAAATTGTTGTAAACCAAATTTTATGCGACTAAATTTTTATGCGACTAAATTTCGGCGACTAATTTTGAAGTAGACCTAAATGTTAGTAGAGCATATATGAATTAAATTTTGTTGAGCTTACATTCTTTATCATATGTTTATGATAAACAGTTAAATATCGCTAACTGTACACAGGATCTTAGTGATACAGACTCTGGACTGGATCTGATGTAATTGAAATTCCTGAGTGTATTGAAAATTAATCTGTAATGCTCAGACGTGTGCTCACTGCTCATTGCTGAATCGATAGATAGCAGTTTATTTTATTTTTTTTTAATTGATTGTTTTATTTCTTCTATTGCAACAAATCATTTAATTAACACGCCTAATATAACGTTAATCTTTAAATGCGAAATTGAAAAAAAAAATCTAGCTTAATATTGGAAAAATCAAATAATGTTAAACTTTATATGCGAAATTGAAAAAAAAACCTAGCTTAATATTGGAAAAATCAAATAAATGGAATGGAAAATCGTCTTAAAAAGTCGAAAAATGCGACTAAAATTGTTGTAGACTAAAAATTTGCGAAATTTGTGCCCAAAATTATGGTAACCAAAATTATAGTAACCAAATTTATTGTGACCCAAATTTGTTGGCCCTAAGGTAACTATGATTAGGGTCTAAATTTTTTAATGGCGTAACATTAAAAACATAGGAAAGTATAATTACTTTTAAAAAGCAGTAAAACATATTATAGACTTTTAATACTATCGATATTTGATTTCAAAACAAATTTATATGGTGAATATTGGCAAATGAATAATTTGTCAAGCTGGATCGCTATCAACAGATTGAAACTGAGTCACTTTACTCGCGTCAGTCGCTTATAAGCGACTAACGTGAGTATAAATACACACAATGTGTTGGAATCTTATGTTATAAAGTTATAAAGCTATAACTCTACTTTAAATATGCTCATCACCATTATAGCATTATAGCATTATGCTCCTTTACATATTGAATGGTACGGACACTCAGCGAATAACATTACGTATTACACATGGCGTATTACACATTACGTATTACACATTACGTATGGCACATTACGTATGACACATTACGTACGACACATTACGTATTACACATTGAACATTGTAAATTAATTGTTGTGTTAAACACAGCAGTCGTGTAAGGCAACGTTAATATACACTACGATGTTGAATTATACAACCTGAGAGTACTTAAAAGCTACAAATTTGTTGGAATCTAATGTTGTAAAAATCCTTCTATGAGGGCAATTATAGATTTATACATTTTGAATTATTCTCGGAAGCTCAGTATAGTATAAGACATTAACTTTGAAAGTTATTTGCTGTGTTAAACTCAACAGTCGTGTAATGCAACGTTATATACTACGCTGTTGTATAATCCAACCTGAGAGTAATTAAAAGCTACGAGCAAAGACACACATACTGAGATACTGGTTACCATGGTTACTACCTGGCGCCTGTGAAATTGTGAATATTGTACTAAGGGTAACATTACTCATTAGTAGTAGTAGTAGTTTAACTAATAACTTAACCTTTAGGTTAATTACAAAGGTTTTACTTACCTGAGCTTCTCGTTATTCAACAACATTGTTGATCAGTAAAATTAAAACTTGCAGCCGGGAGTTTATAGTTATACACTAATATTGTTCAGGTGTGAATACAAACCATAATCGAATATTTTGAAAGTGTGTAAATATTTTATGAGTTATTTAGACAGGTCATTTTCTTTTATGGATCGAAATACATTTCATTGAAATAACAATAGATTCTTGACGAAACGGAGTGAGATGTTGAAATAATTAATAGTACTTAGTAGGGTATTATAAAAGTTGTTGGGCAGTTATTTATCAGATACTAGCACTATTAGCTTGATGTTATTTATTAATTATTTAATCGTCTGAAACACCTTCCTAACAGCACATATTATAGAGTAATAGTTGATAGTCGTATAACATTACAGTCTCAGAAACAACACAGAGTAATAGTTGATAGTCGTATAACATTACAGTCTCAGAAACAACACAGAGTAATAGTTGAAAGTCGTATAACATTACAGTCTCAGAAACAACACAGAGTAATAGTTGATAGTCGTATAACATTACAGTCTCAGAAACAACACAGAGTAATAGTTGAAAGTCGTATAACATTACAGTCTCAGAAACAACACAGAGTAATAGTTGATAGTCGTATAACATTACAGTCTCAGAAACAACACAGAGTAATAGTTGAAAGTCGTATAACATTACAGTCTCAGAAACAACACAGAGTAATAGTTGATAGTCGTATAACATTACAGTCTCAGAAACAACACAGAGTAATAGTTGAAAGTCGTATAACATTACAGTCTCAGAAACAACACAGAGTAATAGTTGATAGTCGTATAACATTACAGTCTCAGAAACAACACAGAGTAATAGTTGAAAGTCGTATAACATTACAGTCTCAGAAACATCACAGAGTAATAGTTGATAGTCGTATAACATTACAGTCTCAGAAACAACACAGGGAGCAAAATGTACTGGCAAGTTTTGACAATGACCAACCAGTCAGGTCTAGCTATAGACTATAGAATAATTACCGGTACAGGGAACCAGTCAGGTCTAGCTATAGACTATAGAATAATTGCCGGTACAGGGAAGAATGCAGTCGGCATCTAATCAACTAAACTAGTTGGTAATAACTTACTTAAGTTGAATAAGTTACTATACTAATCGTATTTGTTGATAGTACTGGATCAGTATAACTAGAGGAATGTTTCAGGATCCTAAACGAAACTCAGCCTGCCTTCATCCCGCTCATTACTGTAGATGAGGTAAGAATTATCGTCTGTAATATTGTATAATTGTCTAGTGATATATAGTATAATTAGTATCTGTCAACAAATGCAATGTAGTGTGTTATTATATTGGGTTATTAGATAATATTAAACGTTATTCGACATTTTATTACTGATGAATACCTATCAATGGTATGTTATGTTGCAGGTTGAATATGGTAGAGTCTGTCTTATAAAGTCTGTAATACGTTATGAACGAGTAATTGTGTGTCATTATTAGGAAGAGTAAACTTCTTTGCATTGATAAGTAATGGAATGCTTTTAGTTGGAGCAATTTGCTGTGGTATGCGATATTAGACCGATCAGTTAAACTATGCTTTTACAAAGTCTGTACTATTATACTATATATAATACAATAATATATAAAATAAAATAGGGCTTCAGTTCCACTCATCAGCTCCATTTAAGACCTATTTTATCTGTAGAGCAATAAGTAGTAGATAGTAGACCAATCAGTTAAACTATGCTTTTACAAAGCTAAGTATGTACTATACTATATATATATATATATAATATAAAATAAAATAGGGCTTCAGTTCCACTCATCAGCTCCATTTAAGACCTATTTTATCTGTAGAGCAATAAGTAGTAGATAGTAGACCAATCAGTTAAACTATGCTTTTACAAAGTATGTACTATACTACAGGGTGGGCCAAAAGTCAGTACCCATACGTTGGCCTTTATAGCTCAGTCACTGAGTGCCCAATTTAAATACTTCTTTCTGGTATGACTTAGTACCACCACTGGTTCGAGGAATTTGTCAACTCGAAAAATATTCGCGTTCATTTTTTTCAAATGGAGGTTCATTTTCACATTTATTTGATAGTTTGGATAGTCGGATCAAGCTAAATGTTATTGAATTGTGTTTGGCCATTCGAATTACGTTTGTCCTGAAAGAATTAGAACTGTAGCTTCTCAGATGACCGAGATATGAAGCATAACGAGTTTATTCATTACGTGTGATCAGGTGATTGGTTTACCTAATCACGTGATAAGGTTCCCCCGTTAACTACCCCGTTAAACATTATGGGAATTATTAAGGGTGCCCAATTAAGGTGTCGTATCACGGTGTCACATAATCACCCAGTCAATATTGTTAACGAGATACAGAAAATGCTTGATAACTTCGTCATTTCTAATCCGTTTTGCCTCATGTTTTCAGATCATATGCAACATTTGATAATCTACCGTCTCTGAAAAAATCAGGCGTTCAGCATGTTCAGAGAAAACAATATAGGTGTTTTAATAATGAATGGGCGTGGTCTAAAATATTCGAATTTTCAAATTTTGACGACGGAATCCTCGAACCAGTAAGTACAGTATGCCATCTGCAAAGCAACAGCTCTCAAATATAAAACACGGCGGAGCTATTAAGGCCAACGTATGGGTACTGAATTTTGGCCCACCCTGTATATATATATATATATATAATATAAAATAAAATAGGGCTTCAGTTCCACTCATCAGCTCCATTTAAGACCTATTTTATCTGTAGAGCAATAAGAAGAAACACGACTATTTTTAAACGCAAGGTAAGGTACCAGGGGTGTAGGAATGATTTTCTCCATAATGTTATGTTATCGTTTATTAGTTATGATATTAGTTATCTTATTAATGTATTTCTGTATGTGATGCCATATTATATATAATATGTATAATAATTATGTTGTTATTATTTTTTTCATAAAACCGGCTCAAAAACTACAGCGTTAAAATAGAGTTATTGTTAGCTTTAGTTAAAAACGTAGAGAAGTGGTTACAAAATTAAGTAACCTTTGCGTATATAAAATAACCTTAACACACTACCACCAAACCCCCTCTCTCTCTCTCTCTCTCTCTCTCTCTCTCTCTCTCTCTCTCTCTCTCTCTCTCTCTCTCTCTCTCTCTCTTCTCTCTCTCTCTCTCTCTCTCTCTCTCTCTCTCTCTCTCCCTCTCTCTCTCACCCCCCTCTCTCACACCCCCCCTCTCTCTCTCTCACACCCCCTCTCTCTCTCTCTCTCCCTCTCTCTCTCTCACCCCCCCTCTCTCTCACACCCCCCCTCTCTCTCTCACACACCCCCTCTCTCTCTCTCTCTCTCTCACCCCATCTCTCCCTCTCTCTATCTCTCTCTCTCTCTCTCACCCTCTCTCTCTCTCTCACCCCCTCTCTCTCTCTCTCTCTCCCTCTCTCTCACCCCATCTCTCTCTCTCACCCCCCTCTCTCTCTCTCTCACCCTCTCTCTCTCTCTCTCTCTCTCTCTCTCTCTCTCTCTCTCTCTCTCTCTCTCTCTCTCTCTCTCTCTCTCTCTCTCTCTCTCTCTCTCTCTCTCTCTCTCTCTCTCTCTCTCTCTCTCTCTCTTACACACCCCCCTCTCCTTCTCTCTCTCTCACCTCCCCTCTCTCTCTCTCTCTCTATCTAAAACCCCTCTCTAAAACCCCTCTCTTTCTCAGCACGGTAGCATTACTCCGGAGCTAGCTGACAAACTGAAATCAGCTCTTCTAGTTCCAATACACGTGATGCACATTGGCTTCTATCTGTTGTGTGCTTTTGGAACTGGCTTGGTTCTTGTCTCAGTTATCATTCAAGTTGTGATAGTCAGCAACAAGTGCAGACAGGAAGGTTTGTGGAATTTCTGATATTTTGTAGGAGTGTGGGATAAATTATAGAGCAGACAGGAAGGTTTGTGGAATTTCAGATATTTTGTAGGAGTTTGGGATAAATTATAGAGCCGTATTGTGATGAGATGGAAAGCTAACAATTACTTAACACAATAACCTGTGGCCCTTGTTTGGGCCATTCATCATTTCAATAAAGCCAATGAAACAATAATACTACACCAGATTCAGAAAAAAGAATGAATAAATTCCAATTCGCCACAACCTTCGCAGCCTTTTATACTATAGTTTCGTCTGTCTTTAAGCAGTCGTCATCAGTAATCCAGCGGCCATGTTGAATGCCATTTACTCAAATTATTTGTTTTATGGTAGTGTAGAAAGTATTGAAACCTGTGGTCCTGTGATATATATACTGTTTAGTAATATTTTAAAAGTTAGGAGAACAATTCATAACAGCGTCATTTTGTTATATATTGCGTTTTTTTGATTTGTTACTAGCTTTTAAATAATTTCTTTTACTTAGAAGTCTATGGTTATTGATCATTATGATTAAATACGAATAATGCTGATGCCATTATATTGTATAGTTGTCCTGGTTATTTATAGCTTAATGCTCACACTGATCTGATTGGTAAGATAAATTAGTAAATTATAAATTTGTAAGTTAAACAAACATTCAAAATTAAAGTGTAAACTTGAAAGACCTGAGAGTACTTTAAAGCCAAGTTCGCCTTATATTTCTATTATATTCGCCCTATTAGTTCTCCAGAATAAGCTCTATAAGAACTATAGCTTCGCTTTCGAACATTTGAATCATGACCACATGAGTATCAAGACTTGTAACAAGTGGTCCGCTCCCGTGGTCACAATGAACCATATACAGTATACACTACACTGCCTCAGCCCTCATGGTCTTCCGCAGAAGTATTCAGCTTTGTCTACGTTCTGTTTCTTTCTCTCTCTCTCTCTCTCTCTCTCTCTCTCTCTCTCTCTCTCTCTCTCTCTCTCTCTCTCTCTCTCTCTCTCTCTCTCTCCCTCTCTCTCTCTCTCTCTATCACTGTACGAGGGAAAAGCTGAATCTCATAATGGAAAAGCTACATCTCACTGAACCGTGGCTTATACTCTCTGTAGTCATTATCATTATCTGTAGTCATTATCATTATCATCATCCAGCTTGTAGTCATTGTCCTCGCTTTCCGTATAGACTTCGTTAATTTCCTTCTTTTTGACGCAATTATTGAGACTAATTATTTTTGGGCTGGTCGTTTTGCTGATGGTTATCTTAACACATTACAGCATTATCACTGCTTAGTTATAGTGTGTCCCACACGAGACTTTGTGAGTATGTGATTGTCTTGTTGAGTACGGAAGTTTCGTTAACTTATAAAGAGTCTCTTGAGGTTTTGAGCGTCCAATACTGAACTTTCTTTATTACAAATGTGTTCATTGAGATTGTAAACATTATTGCTTTTGAAACGTTCAAGTCGCCTTGAATGATTATGTTAATCTTTTATCATTTAATATTTTATCATTTAACGTTAAGATTTGTCGGATAAAATATTAAATATCAACCCTACAAGCAGGCTCTCCATGACTTATAAAAGCTAGTCTCTCAAGCATTTCTACTAAGATGTTCAAAGAAATACTGCGGAGTAACAGCTTGAGGAGGAACATCCTTACCAACAGCTTGAGAAGGAGCAAGCGGTCCTCAAAGAAAGATAAAGAAGTAAGGTGGGCAGATATGGGGGGAGGGGAACTTCATAAACTCAGTTACATATCCCTGGACGACGATGATGTGTCTCTAGATTTAGAACAGATAGAGATTGAGGATACGGATCTACCGCCGACAGTTTCTCAGCCTGATGATAAACCCCAAAATACAGGCTACCGTCCTCTTCCTACGCCCTACAGTAAATGTGACCAGAATGAGGTGTCCGACCCCAGTGCTTCATTTTGGGAACAATCTGGGACCCCTCGAGTAGCAAGACGCAGAAGGAGACGCTACAACTCTTATGGAAGTTATGTTAAACTCGAAACAGATAAGGTGGAAGACACCACCACCACAGGGCGGAACCGAAAGAGAACCCACTCTGGTTCAAAGTTCAAGATCTCTGTTGCTGCTGTGTTTCTGAAGAAGATACAGAAGGGGACTCTAGGAATGTGTGTAACATGCGGACCACACATGACACAATGATTGGACCAGCAGCTGCCTCATGAAGACCATTCAGTTAGTGTATAGCTTACTGTGTGTATAGCTTACTGGCCCGCTGAACCACTTTTTTATACATTCTCGAATTTTCTGACGAAAGACGGTGCATCGCGCAAACTCTGTTAATGGACTCCATTTTAATTTAATGTTAAGGGGTCGTTCACATATTACGTAATCATTTTTTGGAACATTTTTACCCCCCCCCCCCCCCCTCCGTAATCAATTTTACACATAGCTATTATGTCAAAATTACAGTAGCGTAATCATTTGGAAACCCCCCCCCCCCCCCCCCCTCGGCTGATTACGTAATATGCGAACGAGTAAAGACCCCTTAATGTACTCCGTTTTAATTTAATGCTAAGAAATGTGGTGATAACATTTCAAGTGGGAGTATTCAGACCAGTACGTTTAATCAGACGATTGAACAGTAGACATATTTTAAAAGACATATTGCAATAAAAATATTGTTAAATGAAGCAATAAATGTATTTTCAGATATAGAAGTGAACCTATTTAATTATTAACGTATTTAATTATTAGATAATCATATTGTTACGTTGTATAAGATCCTAAGGATTTTGATTAATACATTTTCTGAAGGGTCGTTAATAACGACTCGTTATCGTGAGGAATCGTTATCTGACCTCATTTTCGAGGTTTATCTTATTTTTAAAAGACGATGATGTTAACTACATACAGCGTAGATTAAATTAATTAACAGCGAATATTGTCGTTTAGTTGTGATATATTTTAAGAATATTTCGATTCCTTGATCTGCATGTGAAGTAAGGTTACATTTTTTACCATCGAACAGGTTTTAAATTATTAGTTCTTTTACCATGAAGTTTTTAATAACTGTAATGAGTATCAATTTGATTTCTCTTTATTCACTTTTCGAGTTTATTTCCATTTTCCTTCCAGAAACTCAGAAAAAGGGTGAGTATGGGTCAACTAAGGCTTGCTTCTGGATTCACCCGAATTGCCAACAAACTGCTAAACGTATTACCATAGTTATTAAGTTAGTTAAATTAGTTAAGTTATTAAGGCTGATCACCAAAATAAATCCACAACATGTCTCACACTATCACGTGATTTTATTATCAGAAGAAGATAAGGAAGTGCTGGTGCCTGCCGAGGAGGAGGAAACAGACAATAAATCTGGCTACGTCAGCGATAACTCGGTAAGTTGCATTTTAAACTACATTTTAAACAGATCAAACTTGAACTTAAAATAAATATATAACCCTTAGTCCAACAGTACCAGTATCACTCCTTGTATGCACTCTGAAACTTCTACCGCTAAAGTTCTATGTATGCTTCTCTAGTCAATAAGTTAAACTTGTAATCAGGAGGAGACTAATAAAGTTTACCTGTAAATTGTAATTCACTGCAGGAAAAACAACGACCTCACGTTGTTTAGCTGATAAGAGTATCTCAAATGTTTTAAATTGTTGGTGAGCACAAGATATTACTTGTAACTGTAAAATGTAAACTGATTCGGGAACTTTTTCAACGGAACAAAAATCATGTCAGAAATTGTACTAAAAATAGTGTAATTGTAAAGAATCGTGTTAATATATAGCTTGAGTATATTTTCAGATTATAATACAGGTGCAGTGCACCCCACAATAATGGCAAATACCCCACAAAAATGGCAAATACCCCACAATAATGGCAAATACCCCACAATAATGGCAAATACTCCAAAATACTTGTAACTCAATCAATAGAGACAAAGAAAGAATACATTGACTATTACAACAATAACACAGATGCCCATAATGTGATAAATGTCTACTACTCTGACCGCGCATTCGCACCTGGGACAGATTTATAAGCTCCAGTTTTATTTTAGATCTATTCATTGTTAGCAGGTGCCATATACCAGGTTGATACTCTGAATTATTAACATATTTTATGTATGTTTAACATATTTTATGTAAAGTAACATAATGATAACAATTATGCACTTACGAGACGATACAGATGTCACCGTTCTAAGATCAAAGAACTGGTTGAAAGCCCCTCTGATGGCCGGATTTGTACGATCCTTTGTGAACTGCTTTCATCACTCATTAGGGGGCAATCGAATGAAAGATGAATGTGTTGTACATTTTCCCTTTACAAATTTAAAAAATAGCAGTAATTTTCCAGTGTACAATCAACAATGAACTCAATCCATCAACTGCTTCTGGCATCAGGCACATATTGTTGTTTCACAATAATATATTATATAAGAGAATGAAAGATGAATGGTACGTGTTTTTTCCATCAGGCTGTTTATTTATTTCATTTTTGGCATAGTGTTAGACGTCTCAAATTACTGTGAGAAAAAAATGTGTAGTAAAAAAACTGGAGCTTAAGCTATAACCAGACCATTTGTAATCGTAAGATTGCGAGTTCGAATCCCACTGCCTGCCTAGTCGTGGGGTGAGCGTCGTTGACGCTCTGCTAAGGATCCCGAGTGGTCTATGTAGCCCCACGGTTCACTCAGCCGAATGCTCGAGAAATCGGGTGTGAGGGTTAAATGAGGAGCTGTGCTTGATCAACACAGCGAAGCCTCGGGCGAAGAAAGTGTGGCATAGTGCCTTAACCGTTGCTGGCCTTAGGAACGATCCTTCGGCTTCTTGTAAAGCTCTTCCTTGAAAGTGCTGGTTTACATTGTAATGCAGGTAATGCCGAAGTAAAGTAACAAAGGTGGTCGACTCATTCGATGGCCTTGTTGCGTCGCAACGAATCCTCATAAGATAAGATAAGATAAGATAAGCAATGGTCTGCATTTTATTCATGCTTATCTAACATTTAACATGTTAAATAGTTAAATAACCTTCGTCGGTATTCAACGAATAACGATCCAATACTTGTTTTTTGTTGGAAATTGTCGATTATATGAGAAGAAACAGACTAATAATTTAATCCTGGTAATTACAATAAACCTGATCAGGCAGGATGGAATACCGAACTTTTGTCCGTCTTTAGCGCGTTGAAAACTTGAACTATTCAGCAGTATGTGGAAGAAAAATTCAGAAAAGACAAATAAACAAATGCTGCATTACAGCAAAGGTTCACAAGAAATAAACAATAGGGATATAGAATTACATCCCATGAGCCCAATGCCGCTTACTCAATGAGCAATTTCAATGCATGCTCTCCTGGAATTGTCATACGTTGTATGACCCGCCGCGCACGAAGTGCGCGGCTCCCCCTGTAGCGTCGAAGACGCTACTATAGTGAAGCGACCGTGGGGGTCACCACGTGATACAATCCTGGAATAGGAGCAGGCTTGACGTCAAGACTTGCACTATTTGTACATTTTCCCTTTACAAATTTAAAAAATAGTATTTATTTTCCCGTGTATAATCAACAATAAGCTCAATCCATCAACTTAGTAGAGGCTCTTACGGGCAAAAATACGTGTTTTCTGCTACGAGTTTAGAGACCTAACCGCTAATTGGACACAATAGTATGATGTCTAAGGATCGATAATATGTTAAGAAGTATAAATTTGGCCTTATTAGTCACATGCTATTCCAATGCGCGTTTTAAACTTTGACAGTCTATTACTCTAAGGCAAATAGAGTAATTATATTCATATTTTGTCAGCAATAAGATCACATTATTTTCTATTTGGTGTGAAAATATGAGCTAGAACGGACATAATCTCGCTGAGTTATAGCTGTTTGAAATTTATGATGAACGCGCGGGTGCCAATTGATAACAACTAAATGCTTTTGCGCGTAGTGCGCGTCGAAAATTTGGCAAAAACGCTTGCGGAGTGACAATATTCAAACTTCGATAAAGCATATGAAGTGGGTACTTCTCGGAAAGGAAAAATTTAGGCAAACACAATGAAACTATTTTTGGGTTGATTTAATACAACTGCAAAAAATTATTCAAACTTCAAGCAAAAAAGTCAAAATTTTTACCACTTTTTTGGATTTTTACCCCAGAAAAAATAGAGGGATTTGTTTTATTTTTATACCATCTTGTGCGGCTGTCTTTCAGCTATCTCCATGCAAGTTTTGCTGACATACCAACAAAATTAACTTGCTCAAAATATCAAAAAACATGGTTTTTTGGCCTAGTTTTGTCCCAAAAATCGGTTTTTTGCAATTTTAACCCAGAAAAATCAGTCCAATCATCTTGAAACCACTTTTAATCGATTCTACGGTCAAAAATACGTCTGGTAAGGTGTATCTGGGGTCCCTAGCGTATCGAGCAGACAATGCCCGTAAGAGCCTCTACTAACTAGGAGTAGGCACCAGGCACCAGGCACATATTCAATATTGATATTGTTGTTTCATAATAATATATTGGGAATCGGTCACGAGGGCGGAGGTCACGAGAGCGGAGGTCACGAAGGCGGAAGTTTCCTAAAAGGTTGGACACGAGGGCGTGTCCTACGCCCTCGTGACTTCCGCCATAGTGTCCTATATATATAATAGCAGTGGAGCAAATAGAACAAGAGTAAGAGCAAGTATTTGGTGAATGAGAACCGTCTGTGCCAATAGAAGACTGGACCAATGTTACAATGAACCTATTGGTTAGCCAATACACATGTGACATGCACATCGGTACCTGAATAGTATGCATGTCTCTACTGAAGACATACTTGCAATGAATATGATTAATGTGTCACAGCTCCAAATACTAAGGTTACACTAATGAGCTTACTCCCTGCTAACTACTCATCCCACAGAGATCTCGTACAATTTGACTCTCCAACATGAACACAGTCATTCACCAAAACAAGTCAATACCTACAGACGTATTAAACGTTTAGAGTTACCAAACAAACAAAAGTCACATGGAAAATGGTAAACTTCATGCGGTTTAAAAGTGTCAATTGCTACACATCCTAGTTACCACACAGGATGGCGTAACATTCTCCTACGTGTGATAATAATCATCACTAAGTGATAGAAAACTATATGATCTACCTCATCGACTGCCTGGTATAAGGCGTGAATATTACACTAAGAAAAGAAACAAGTCGCACTATCTGCCACTATTTGCGACTGTCTGCACTGTGCCATGCTAATAAGTCGCACTATCTGCGACTGTCTGCACTGTGCTAATAAGTCGCACTATCTGCGACTGTCTGCACTGCGCTAGTAAGTCGCACTATCTGCGACTGTCTGCACTGCGCTAACAAGTCGCACTATCTGCGACTGTCTGCACTGTACTTATAAGTGCTAATGAAAAGAAATCAACAGTAAGTACAATCCTGCAACTATAGGGAGCAAACCTGGCCTCACCTTTAGTTTTAACATAGAGAAGTAAAGTCGTACCCATACCGACGATAATAAACCTTGGTACAGAAAACTAATGAGTCACAAAGTTGGTAGGGGGTTTTGTTCACCCGTATACATTTTATGTCGTGTAAAAGTTGTGAGAGCTGTCGTGCCCTAATTCTTGTTGGCTGAATGAGCCGAACGTTTAAATGTTATGCCGTTGAAATAATTCTCTGCAGAGGTATTTTAAACATTTAATTGGTAGGCATTGAAAACATACAGTTACAGCTTACATTTAACTGGTACAATATATTATGTTACAACTATTCTATGCCTTCAATTCCAATTATTCTGCTCTGAGTAGAAATCAGCTGGGTTTTATGTATTTTTCCTGTGCGTGATCCAAGTTTTATTATGTTCCACTAATAATGAACCAACCGAGAACAGGTTTTAGACAGGACATGGAATTGGAAAGGTTCTGGTTACAAATTGAATAGAGCAGGATCTACTTGTCAGGAAACCTTAAAAAGAAACTGAAAATCTAACTTTTCAGGACCAGTACCTGAGTCTGGACGCAGGAACAAGTCGGTATTATGAGGCGTCAGAGTAGAACCTGACGTTTAGGGGTCGTTCACATATTACGTAATCAGCTGGGGGGGGGGGGGGGGGTTCCAAATGATTACGCTAGTGTAATTTTGACACAATAGCTATGTGTAAAACTGATTACGGAGGGGGGGGGGGGTAAAAATGTTCCAAAAAATGATGACGTAATATGTGAACGACCCCCTAACCCTCGAAAAGGAATTAAAATAATTTAGAAGGATGTTCAGTTTAGATTCGGATCAGAAGCCTATAGATGGAGAACATGATGGATTGTCGCGAATGAGCCGTTTCAAATATGTTAGATATTTTTGCCTGATATTTCAGTTTTTAGTAATATTTTTTTAGATCAGAGTTTGAGAGAAAGGACTATATCTGCAGTTTTATCTGCAGTGTTTACAGATAAAATCTGACTCGTTTGTTTTATTCAATGTACATTGTACATATTAAAAAGACTGTTTTACTGCCTTTGAGAATGCTTTTTTGTTCGTTACGCTGAAACCAAATATTAAGCTCCGTTCATTGATCAAAAAATTAAATTATCATCTCTGAGTCTGAGTAACTAAATCTATTGTGTTACTTTGAATAGAGTTTTTAAAGACCCTCTTGCTAGAACCTAACGGTTATTTATATTTGATTATAATGATTACTTTAAATCAATTTATTGTTGATATTTTGGTTTTGACATTGTTTAGCTATCAATTTTCTACTTTTGTCATTTTGTGTTGATATGCTTGTTTTATTAAGAGTTTCTCCAAATTATCTGTAAAAAAATTAAAAACATAAATTAATGTATTTAAAGTAAATTTTCTAAAATAACATGAAACAATAAAGATAAAAATAATTAATAGTTCAAAATGAAATCAGACCCGTAATAAGGGCCCTCCTCCACCGAGATTGTAAATAAATTATAACCTAATTTGAATAACTGTCATTATAATAAATAAAATAACTCTCCCTCTCTCCAAAGCTTTCTGTAGGTGTGTCCCTTATTTCCAAATCTTTAAACAATTATTACATAAATTATCTAACTAATGATCATTTCGTTATTTAGGTTTAGATTCTCTGATTTCGGCTGCACTCATTAGAACATAATGGCATCGTTAGGTTGAATGTTCATTCGTTGGAATACATAAGATTATATTTATAGAATTTGCGGGTGGCGGAGTCAGATGAGGTGATCGTGACTAAATGTGACACCACGACTAAAGCCAAAGATAGAATGGTTAATCATCTAACCTTACGTTACTTTAACTTAAAGTGCACTTATAGGAGCGTTAATGTCACAAAATTCCACGGTTAACTTCGCTATAATATTAACAATACAATCACTTCTTACGATAAAACGAAGATGTTTTTATTTAATATATATATATAAATAATTTGATTTGTTGGGATTGTAATGTACCGTCTTATGATATTTGTCAGTCTGAATAAATAATTCTCTGACACTTAGTCGACAGGTTCTGCAGCATTTTGTCGCATAAACGGAAATGATAGTTCAGTAAAAACCTGATTTACTTTAAATTCGGACAAAAATGTCCGGTAAATTGAAGATCCCGGTTTATTGTGTTATTTGGGGCACGGTAAAAATGTGTTTAAATGCAGTAATACCGAGTCGTAATTCTAGTATGCTTAATTTATTTAATATTCATAATTTAGGGCTCCGCATCAATCTAATATTTGGCGCACTCACTGAAATCAAATGTACGACTGTTTCCGACAAAGTGCTGCAGACCATTCTACTAATCCTAACAATATCAGTTTGATCCACGTCTTACCGCTGTTGCTATATATGTTTCCTCAACACTTCCAGCCTCTCAAGGTTCATAGAAACCTATGAAATACTCCGCATAACTTGTCAACAAACTCCCAATATAGCCCGGATATCTGGAAGTATCGTAGGAAGTTCGGAGGATGTTCGCGAACACGCCCCGGAGTCTGAAGTCTACGGGAGCGTCTAACAGGGAGAAGACCAGCTCTAATCTAGCGTTCTCTGCAAAGAAGACGGGAGCTGCAGACATGGTGGAGGTGTGGTTGAATCTCAGCGCTATACTGGCCCACCTGATGAATTAGGTCGGTTAAAGCTTTAAAATTCAACTGCAATACTTTAATTCAAATGCTGCTAGGTCCCAGTTCATTTTAGAAAGAAAACTTAACAGTTAGCTGCAATCTATAAAACTCACTTTGCGAACATTTCAGGATCACTCTCAGTCTTCTGACTGAACTTGAATGTCTTATCCAGACGGTTTAGAAGAATCTTCCAATTTTTCAGCCTCGTCTCGGTCATGTTCGCACGGTTTATTACCGTCTTCATTCTCTCCAGTACTATCATCATCTGAGGTATTCTTTGTTAATAACTTTCTAATACAATTACAGAGAAACCTTTAAACACCATACCAGCTGAACCCAAAACTTCTTTGCAAATAAGCCATGGCCCGAAAAACAAAACATTAATTTTCAGGCATGTAAGTCCTGAATTGAGTTGGTACACTTGTGATTCGATCCGGTATTAGAGTTCGGTTCTTAATTTACAATGACAAATTATCTTGTGAAGTGGAACCGAATTGTCAATACCCATTGTTCTCATGTCATTGGTATCTTGATTTTCTGACAAGGATCAGCTATCATTACTTTGTCATTACTTTGTCATCATTACTTTGTGGATACATGACTGATTATTAGCTAGACACACTAACTAGCTTAGTAGGGTTATTAACACAGACACAACATTCTTCTTCACACAGATAACCTGACGGTAACTATCACGGTACTTGATCTATTTTTGTCTACATTATCTCTTTTCATCTCCAACTCATTGACGTCCCGCGAAAGCGAAAATTACAGACAGATTCAAGTTACCTGGGAATGAACGTGGCCAGCCTTGTCACCGAGTAGCCCAGTTCTGTGGTCATAAGCTTCTGCTATATCTTTCAGCTTCCACGAAACCGTCCTATTCCTCTTACTCCTGGTCAGAATCTTGTAAATTTCACTACATTCCTCAAATATCTCCGACTGGTAAAATTTCACCGGAACTTTGGTTGAAGGACGTTCCAGCCACACAAATATTTCCCTCTCGATATCCTTAGCAGACTCAACCCCGAACTGTTGGTACAACATGTGCACGAAATCAGCTGTATCTACAGACTGGTATCTGTGGCTATCTAGATATGATCTGAGGCCCTGGTCTACTTTCTCTCTGCTGGTATGGTTAGCCAGGTACTCTAGAAACAGTGACCCCTTGTTGTAGTGTATGTAAGTAAACCCGTGAAACGGGTGATCCTCAAACAGATAGGGTGTTAGGATCTTGTACTTGGCACTGGCACCTGTGTAACTCTCCAGAGTTTTCTTAAGGGAGGTGTACCGGTCCTTTCTGAGGAATTTCCCGACTTCCGGGTTCTCGTAATACTCCTCCATCAGTTCCAGCTCCTCAAAGGATGTGATACCTTCAGCTAACCAGGCGTCTCCAGCGTATTTAGGAGTCACCAGGTTCCCAAACCAGCTGTGTATCATCTCGTGAGCTATTATGTTGGAGAAGATGTAGTTGGGTCCTGCTAGGTCGTTAAAGTTGAGGACCGTACTGGAGATGTAGTTCATCGCTGGGAATTCCATTCCTCGGAACATGTACCCGGGAGGGTTTAGCACTATGTCGTATCTTAACCACTCGTATCTCCCGTATTTTCTCTCGCAGATATCCATCATCCGAGGTATCTGAGGGAAGGGGGAGTTTAATTATAGGCGGGGTAAATTGCCCTTCAAGTTTATCAAATAATGAGCAATGTTTGCTTCAATTTTCATCAGATCATCCCAAAAGAAAACCAAATGCTGATTTAATCTAAGAAGAACGTGCTAATTGCTACCCACCAAATCAAGAATCCCACTAGGTCCCACTTTTTCCATCAGACTCTTTTCTCCCCAGACTCTGATAGGTGGCACCGCTAACCCTGTATCAGTCCCCAAACCTTCACCTCTAACATCCACACTCACGATATCAGCCACAGTGATAGCTATAAGATACGGAGGGGTAGGTATTTCCTGTCTGAAGCCCACAGTTACCCACCCTGACTCATCAGTACTTGTAGTTGTGATGATAGCGCTCATCAGGACCGTGAAGGGCTCCTTGACTCTGATTGTAGCATGGTAAGGGAACTTCAGGGCGGGTGTGTCCTGACAGGGTATCCAGCCTCGAGCGTTGGAAGGCTGTGTGTTTGAAACCAGGAAGTACTTGTCCTTACTGTGAGTTTGGAGGGGAGGGATGAAGTGAAGAGAGGAAGTTTTGTCCGTGACTGAGTAGTGTATCCTGAGCTTGAACTGTCCTACACTTGACATAGGGTCGTTTATCTGTAGAGCACATTGGAGCACTGACACCACGTGCTTATCTACACAGGAGGTTGTGAACTCTAACTTCTCTCCTGTCTCTACGTGTTCTACCTCTGTAACCGTTACATGAGGCCCAATATCCAACACCAAACCTGGACCCACGCTAGAGAATTTAGACATCATCCAGGAGGGTTTGATCTTGACGAAAGTAGTCTCCACAAACCCTGATAGGGTTCTGTCTTCCATGTCAACGGTGAGGTGAAGTGACTGGTATAGAGTCCTGTAGCTGTTTATATCTGCGTAAGTGTGGTCCCGGTGATCAATCCTGAGGCTATCTAAGATAAGCTTGTAATCTACTTCGGCCCAGTCAATTACACTTTCATTATTATCTGATCCTTCTCCCACTTCTTCTCCCACTTCATTCCCACTTCTTCCCCCACTTCTTCCCCCACTTCTTCTCTCACTGGCTTGCCATCTTCCAAAGCAAGTACCGTCACAGACACAAATATTAAGAACAATAAATACCGGGCGGTGTATAACCAGGCCATATTCTCACAGCAGATACACGCAACAATACCAAAATGGAAATAAAATGCCCGGCTCCTGAAAGCCGTGCGGGGAGGTTAACAAGATTATAGAGGAGGATCCTTCACTGTGTTTAACCCTGTCTGGCAGTAGGTATAGAGAGGAGACGACTAAGTGAGTGAGTTCTCACCTATTCACACGATTAGATTCTCCTTCTGCTGTCATGTTCTGCAAGTGGATATTAATCATTGCATGTTAACGTCATGCAAGCTACGCAATTGCTGGGGGTTTCAGGGATATTTCAGGGATCAACAATCGATTCATTTAGCTATTTAGAGACATGACAAACCATTGTATATAAATCATGGCCAAATATATCGGCCTGATTTAGAATGTGATATCACGGTGGTTAGTCTGAATCATGGTGGTTAGTCCAAAGGTAAACTAATCTCACAATTTTAGGTTCTAATTGTTCTATTTTTATATATCGAATTAAAATTCTACAATCGGGACCAGAGGCCAAAAGGATCAGACCATTACTAATGACTAAGGATCTTACTGATCAAATTGATTTAATGGAAGTACAGCAAATAAACAGGAGCCGCTCCTTGTGCTTAATAACAAAGCATATTACTGATTCGGGCATATCCATTAATACCTTACAGCTGTAGGTGAAGGAAAGTTTAATTGGGTTAAAAAACTTGGCTAGATTTTTCCCAACTCTAATAACACATTACAGCACAAACAACGCACCACAGAAGTACTATATATGTTTTAATTACATCACAATTACAATCAGCTATAGAAAGACACTCGTGCGTCACTCCGTGCTTTGTAAAGAAACAAATTTCAGTACCGATACAAAAAACGAATTGTGCAGCACACATCGGATTGTGGGGGAACGAAAAAGCAGATGAGCTGGCCAAGCTTGGCACTATCAGTGAATCCACTTTGAAGTGTCCAATTCCACAATCCTACATCAAGCGTCAAATCGACAACAAAGTCAACAGACTGAATCAGGAAACTTGGTCAACTGACGGTCCCAGACACACCAAACTGACACTCGGCCACAAGCACGCCAAAATCATCAAAAACCTCAACACTACACTCAGCAACAACAGACAAGATTACAGAACTGCAGTTCACCTCATCACGGGTCACTGCGGCCTAAACAAACACCTTCACACCATTTGCAAATCAAACACCAGTGCTTGTCCTATGTGCGGGGACGGAGAGGAAACTGTCTCACACTTCCTTGGACAGTGTCCGGCTATTGCCCAAATTAGAGGTCAATATTTCCAGGACTACTACCTCTCTGTCAATGACATATTCGACAACCAACACATCACCACAATTGTCAATTTCACAAACCGCACCAAACGCTTAATTGTGCCGGAAGAGCTGGATCAGACCGGGGTGACTTAAAGTATTATCTCATATGCTGTCTCGTCTCGTTTTACTTTTCCAAACCCAGCTGGCATTTAAGCGTATCATTTTGACTCATATAACATCCTACACCACCCTCCACCAATCACTCTGATCTCACCGGCAACCTTCCCCAAGGTTGCCACACCCCAGAGGTAGGCAGAGCATCTCAATGCTATCCTCTCGTGGGCTATCATGGCCCAGCCTCTCTAAAAATAAAAAAAATAAAAAAAAAAACGAATTATTCCCGAGGAATCAGCCACATATTTGAAGATTAGAGGGAGAAAAAAAATCGAGTGACGAATACTGGACGTGTTTTCCTGATTCTTCTCAGGAATTTCACTGTCTTGGGTAATGTAATACCTTCTTACTGCAGGAAAAGTCAGGTATTCCTTAATAATGAGTAACGACCTCCGCCGAGCCCCTATCTAAAAAATCTGTATTATTGCTGTATTATTGCTGTGAACGACTGGCCCAGCCATGTAATTGTATCATATTCGGAATATTTAGAATTCTAGTGAATATTTCAAACTTCATCAAACTCCGGTATTATGTTTTCCATTACCAATCTGAGGGAAGGTGTTAAATTTCTGCAGGAATTAACCGGAAAATTCCCACGCTTCTTCTAAACATTCCGGTCATGGTGGGGCTACTTAGAGTTAGATACTCCTTAAACAAGTAAAAGCACAGGATCTTAGAGTTAGAGAATGGTTTCCCGAGTGCAATGCTGGTCTTAAACTAAAATTTTAAAACGAAAAATAGTGTCCGGAATGTCTGAATAGTAAACTTTATTTTAATGTACGAAGCTCAACTAGCAGGAACTAGCAGGAATACTGATTTTAGTAGGAACTAGCAGGAATACTGATTTTAGCAGGAACTAACAGGAACTAGCAGGAATACTGATTTTAGTAGGAACTAGCAGGAATACTAGCAGGAATACTGATTTTAGTAGGAACTAGCAGGAATACTAGCAGGAATACCAGCAGGAATACTAGCAGGAATACTAGCAGGAATACTGATTTTAGTAGGAACTAGCAGGAATAATGATTTTAGTAGGAATACTAGCAGGAATACTGATTTTAGTAGGAACTAGCAGGAATACTGATTTTAGTAGGAATACTGATTTTAGTAGGAATATACTAGCAGGAATACTAGCAGGAATACTGATTTTAGTAGGAACTAGCAGGAATACTAGCAGGAATACTGATTTTAATTATGCACAAAGAGAAATGCTATTTGCTAATATGCAGTTTTGTGGAATCGAGCAAATATTAAATAATAATACATAAAAAACATGAACAAAGAAATGAGTTAAGATTATTTTGGATCATTTCCAGTGTAATAATCGAATACATATATTGATATATCGAGTGACGAATACTGGACGTGTTTTCCTGATTCTTCTCAGGAATTTCACTGTCTTGGGTAATGTAATACCTTCTTACTGCAGGAAAAGTCAGGTATTCCTTAATAATGAGTAACGACCTCCGCCGAGCCCCTATCTAAAAAATCTGTATTATTGCTGTATTATTGCTGTGAACGACTGGCCCAGCCATGTAATTGTATCATATTCGGAATATTTAGAATTCTAGTGAATATTTCAAACTTCATCAAACTCCGGTATTATGTTTTCCATTACCAATCTGAGGGAAGGTGTTAAATTTCTGCAGGAATTAACCGGAAAATTCCCACGCTTCTTCTAAACATTCCGGTCATGGTGGGGCTACTTAGAGTTAGATACTCCTTAAACAAGTAAAAGCACAGGATCTTAGAGTTAGAGAATGGTTTCCCGAGTGCAATGCTGGTCTTAAACTAAAATTACCATAACTCAGTTAGATAATTGTTTTGAAGTCTACAAAACTGTCTAAGTCTCTAAGATTGGATAAAGATGTTATGATAGAGGCCTTGAACAGTTGCCCACGCCCCACAAATGTCCCCACCAGGGATCCTTACTCCCGATAATGATATTTTACTACAACTTTCTTACCCTACTCCCCATATTTTACTACAACTTTCTTACCTTTTGCTTACTTTCCGTCTCTGTCTCGCGAGGCGCTGCAAAGCACCTGCATGGGGGCTGCACCAATCCAATAGTCACGCAACGCAATAAATGTAGCTCCTTTATAAATATAGCTCCTTTCAATTCTTAGAAACTGATCCAAGTAGCTGGAATCTAAACAATGATTAGCGGACGGTATGCGATTATTTAGTTTTAAGACCACGGTGGGAACGTTCGTGGGACTATTTGAACAATGATCGAAACGATCCAAGTAAGGACTGGAGGCTTATTACGGAAATTGGTTATGTCTTGTGTCCCTAATTTGCAGCCAAGAAGTCACCCTTCATTCTATTTGTGCAACAGTACGGGTTCACTCGAGCATTAGATTTAATTTTATTTCTACAACATAATTCTGCAAATAAATCTAATTTGGGATATATTCACCAAACCCAGCGGTCGCTCTTACATCTCCCCGCGTACAGCATGCTGAGCTTTTAATTCCAAAATGTCACGTATTTGTGTGTTGTTGTTGTGTTTAGCTGTGCTCTGTTCTGCTCAAAAGAAAAAGAACAAGGGAAAGAAGAAAAACAATGCAGCTACCGACGAAGACACGCCTGCTGAAGTGAGATTTGAAGAAGATTCTTCTCCTGACAGCGACGAGGAAGGCAACTTTAGAGCAGAATTACCAAAATGGAGTGTTGCGGAGGATCGGGAGAAGCTGACGGAAACAGAGGACCTACTTTCAACAGAATACATGAGGGACCGTGTGGATAGGGGTGTACTGGATGGCTTCCCAAGTGCTGCTAACATAGACAGCTACAAAACTACCTGACTCTTCCTCGACTTGGAGGTGGGGATGAAGAGTGATGAAACGGGGGTGGACGAAGACAACCGTTTCTTAAGACTAGGTGGACATGTGGATATTTATTACGAGAAACAGGACCGGAGTGCTGAGGAACCTATGATCCTCGACTCGTGGGGTTGGTAGTGTTTATTGTTTGACTGTTCATAATTTAATTTCAGATCTAAAACCCCCCGAATAAACCAGAGCATCCAATCACAGTCATGAAACTCCCTACGGTCCCTGTTGATGGATCACTTCCCTACAAAATGTAGACTTTCCTTATTTGACCAATATTTTCAATTATTGATATAGGATTTTTCATGGTTTTTAATATTACTCTCATATATGAGACAAAAGAAACGCCATCTTATTCTTAGGACGCGTGGAACGACCTAAAAAATATAAATACGAATTCAAAAACCTCAAAATATCCAAGTCATCACTGAACACTAAGAAATGTTACTTAGGCAAAGATAAAACAACAAGAAACAAATTATGATACCAGAAAAGAACAAATAATAACATTTACAGGTCTGGAAATAAAGCAAGTTCGCGTCTCGTACGATGGGAGTGAATCGTTTTCAGTGATTAAGTACGTAGATCATAATCTAAATCAAGTAAACGGTATGTTCACACTTCCTTTAAAGTTAGTTTTTACTCTGACAATATATTTAATATACTTTATAATTAAGATTTGCGTAAACTATTTATAGGCTAGTCGGTAGCACCAACAAAATGTTTAGCTTATTATTATTTTACAAGATGATGAACAATAACCAGTTAAAAAGCCTTGCAAAACTCGTTTTCTTCAAATTCACCACAATTACAACCTCAGCAAGTGCAAGGCTGGAACTCAACGTAGACTCTAACGAAGACGAGGGTATCTTGAGGATAGAATACTCCGCCACAAACTCTACCTCCCTCCGGTACTCCGCTCTGGAGTACACACCTTTCTCTGAAGACGGCCCAGTGCTTGCGGTATTGAACAGACCGGGCATGGCTAGAACATGGTTACCGTGTCAGGATACCCTCCGTGTCAAGGTATTTAGTTTGATCTGGTGTCGCGCTACCTGTACGCTACCTGGACTGTAGTGCGACACGAACTCTAGTGCGAAAGAGGGAGGTCTTGTCGAACTTCAGGTTTCGCATTACAGTACGTGTCGCACTACAGTACGTTTACCATTTAGTTTACTATTTGGTTCTGTATTTCCTTAAATGGGCATCACGTTTTACATTTGTATAGCTTTTTTCATTACTGTCTCCAATAGATATACTCATATAGATCAATACTGCAGCGTTTTTAGATTAATCTTAATGCAATTATATTTCTTCTTATTGAACTTGGAGTTATTTATATCTACACATACAATAAAAAATTATGAACCATGCTATTACTAAATCTAATATTTACAAAAACTATATCTAATGATGTTTGTACACGTTTTCAGACTCCAGTGGAAATGAAGATATCTGTTCCCCATCCCTACACGGCGTTGACCTCCGGTATCGATGTGTCCAAGCGTACTGAAAGTTTGTCTGATGATTTCCATTATGAGTCGTTCCAACCGATGCCAGTAGCAGCCGAGCAGCTGACCCTGATAGTGGGGAGGTTTGAGCGGTGGGAAGTGAGCGAGCGGATATCCGTCTGGACGGAGACGAACAGAAGGGAGCAGATTAGAGGCGGATTCCTGAGCGAGGCAGACTCAATACTGAAGATATGTGAGAGTATGGTAGGACCGTTCGTGTGGGAGCATCTCAACATTGTGGTGGTTCCTGACAAACTGGGATACAAGGGTAAGTGCTAGTTTATTAAGGGCTGTTCAAAATAAAAAATAAAATATAACTTTATCTTGACTGCAATTTACGTCTAACCTTATGAATGATAATTTGCTGCAGGTGAGATGCTAGGACCCAACACCATCTACCTGCCGGTATCCATGTTCCAAAGCTCCTCCTCTCCGATCGAGGACGACTCCCTGAGGGTTCAGGAGCTCACCAGACAGATGATGTACAGCTGGTTTGGGAACCTGGTTACTGCTCCTGCTTTACGGATTTCTAGGATTGAGGATCCAGATCGTCCATCCGTCCATCGTGAAGTGAATATTGGGTAAGAAGTATAATTTGTTTTCTGACGCATGGGAGGGGGTACTATACCTGAAAAGAGCTTTTATGTACCACATTTTTTGGTAAAAGTCCCTGAAAAACTAAAATTTTGCAGAGAAAGAAACATGTTGCGAGGAATAGCAGACTACCTGTCCTTCCACGCTACGGCTCAGTTCATGGACAATGACAGGCACCTGGCAGACTTCTTCTTTAAACGCTCCAATGAGGAGGAAGATGTGTCATCTGAGAAAGTACGTTTAGTTTATGTTTTTTTAAGCACTGCTCGACTTAATTCAATTATGAAGTGTACTTGTTATTTGAGTCGGGTGAAGCAATCTGAATTATGTTTTCACCACCATGTTGACATAACCATGGTTATTGAAACACGTTAATAAGATACAAAAATTCAGGAAAAAAATTAACAACAATTAATTAATTTCCGTTCTAATCACTATCAGATAGCAGACTTCAGTATTGTCATGAGAAAGCTTGAAGACCTTGTGGGAGGTAAAGAAACCATTACCAAGTTCCTGAGAATAATTGTTCTGTTCAGTGTTGCTGATGACTTCTCTTCTGAGCAGTTCTGGAACCTTCTTCAAACCTTATTCCCGGACAATGAGATTGATGAGCAAGCTCTTTCAAGACCGGGTTTGGTCCTTCGTAATCGTAATAGATATTTTGATGAATGCAGCGTCGTTTTACTCGCATGGGATCCACTTCCAGTGGAGGAGGAACCTGTGGTGAAAGCAGGACAGCTCAAAGAGCTTAACTATGCACAGGTGAGTAACAATAGAAATATTAAACATTCTGTACCGTTGGATCTTAGCTGTTGGACCTGTTATCCACATAGACTCGACTTGTGCGTAGTCAAATAGTTATAACTTATTTATGTACTGAAATTGGTAAAGTTATTAATTATCAAATTGAATAAATACAAAATAGGTTAAATGTGCGATTTTATCAACGATTAATTAATTACAGGTAGCATACATGCTAGAAAGTGGGGTATCTGACAGATTACCAATCGCAACAGTCAAGAAGATTACTAGCGTTTTGAAGAAAATGGGGATCTACCAAGACCCAAATATGTTCTACAGGTTGGAAAATCTTATTGTAGACTGTTTGACACCTTATTTTTCTTACTGTTAGAAGCTCAGAAAATTCGTGTAAACATTTATGAAAATTTAAGCAACACAATTCTATAATATTAATAATATTAAGTACGGCAGATAGTACATACTTTCTGAAGAGATTAGTCTTTCAAAAGTTCTGAAGTTAATTAACTTTTAAAAACTTAACTTCTTATTCTAGATGGGCCTTGACGGCAATAAAACTTGGAGATAGGAGCATTGAGGACGACGCTCGGGATTACATCGAGACAAACATGCGGAACCCTGGAGCTAGAGCTCTCTTTTCTCTTTTGAGTGAGAGGGCCGAGGATGGTGCAGATCGAAAGAAACTGAAAAACATCCAGAAAATGTTCGAAGAGGAAAGTTATGTGCCATGGAATTAGGGATATTAAACATGTCGTAAATGTAGATGACTTGTTGTTCGGAAAACGTCTTGACTAGGGCGAATATTTTATAACATATGATAAGCCAGATCGAACTTATCTTAATTATTATAATTATATAATTATGATTATATGTTACCTATTCATTATTATGACATGTACCCTGTGCATGTTAAATTATGCAGACAGTATAACTATAAAGTTGTAACTGTTTCATATTATGGCTATGAGAGACTTATTTTAATTTAGTTACTGTTAGTGGCCCCATTAAATTATTCTTGCTAACTTTTCGTTCCATAAACATTGAAGAAATTGTGAATTTATAATTGTTTTAAGAAACGTTTGTTAGAGAATGCAGACAATCGTTTCTTTTCGTTCTTTTTAGCTTGCTATATTTAAAATAACGTTCTTCCTAAATTTGAAACTGAAAGGGCCAAATCGAATGTCGAAGTGTTCAAGATGCAAAAATTTGCTTACTGGGCCGCGCTCAGCCTGTCATTCCGCCGAATCTCTATTTTATGTTTATGAACATAATAGCCTGAGGTCCCCAGGTAAGAATTTGCGTACCTTAGTCGCTGACCTGTACTGAACTGTCATCGGGTCCTAACGCTATTTTTAAGAGACGAACATTCAGCAAAAAGCCGGAAGTCGCTATCTCTAATCTTTCACTTTTGAAAATAGCCGGCCCCGAGCCGGTAAGGTTTTTTGGAATACCAATTATTACCCAAGCCAGGAGGGTCTATCTCCAAAATCAAAAATATATAAATAGCTATTTGCAAAATGTTTAAGTTTAACCATTAACGGGTGATACTCGTAAAATATTTGTTCCAAATATTTATAGACCGTTGACGAGTCAACTAGTTGATGGATGTTATGTTACTCGTCTAAATTTCTTCGAAGTCTAGTAGCGCGCGCCGCTTTCTTCTCGAAAGCGCCGGGCCAGAACAGTAACAATGGTCAAGTCAACTAGGCGCGCGTACTCTTGATCATTGATCGGTTATAAACTATTGAAGTTACAAAAATGTCTTCACATGCAAAAATAGCGTTTCCTTCCCAGGAGAAAATTGAGGACTTTGTAGATTTTGACGGATACTATTTAAATTTCGTCGAAGTAGCGCGGCGCGTAGTGCGCCGTGCTTTCTTCTCAAAATGCATGAATGTTATCAAAAGGTGCGCACTGCACGATAAAAATAAATTTGCTCGGACGCGGATTTTCATTTGACCATTGTTAATGGTAGGTGGTGCGCAATCGACAGTGAGCCGCGCGTGCCGACTGTAGGATGGTTTTTTAGAATTTAGTGCTAATTTCGGCCAGCACACTTTTCTTCAAACAAATAGATATTGAGTATTCTTCCCGACCTCCAATTGCAACAAAAATTGGTAAGCTCAAAGCTTACTCATAGACTTACAAGAATGTGTCCGAAAAATGTAAAGCATATCCAACCATCAGACATTATGTTAAGGCTAAAAGCAGCGTATTTTGCCCCATTTTGATCACTATATCAACTCTGATATCCACCAAATTTTTCAGACAGTTGTGAAATTGCCCTATTGGAAGGTCGTCGCCAATTTTCAGAATGATCTCATTCAAGAAACCGAAGATATATCCGAATAATACGACAAAAATGGTCAAATTTGGACGAATTTAGTCAAATTACGCGACTTTTACAGCTACTTTTGCTCAAAAGCCGCGCACCATCAAATATGGCAACTAGGCGAAACTCACTGATCTTTCCGAAAAGGTATAACAAATTTGGTATTGTGAAAATTCTCACAGTCTCTATGCTCTAGAAAACAGTGGAACAAAAATTTTTTAAATCCGATCAGCAAGTTTATTTTTATCGTGCACCCCCCTATTAATGGTTTGGCCCGGCGCACTTGCCATCGGACTAAAATTTCGAAAAGAAAGTTAAGCGGCGCACGCTACTTCGAAGAAATTTAGACGAATAATCAATAACATTAAATTTTTATAATTTTTGTATTATTGTTTTCTGATTAGAGTGTGAGCTTTTTCACAATTCAAAATTTTAAATTTGTTATACCTTTTTGGAATGATTTGTGAGTTTTGTGCTAATTACCTGGGGACCCCAGTCTATTATTGATTATGTTCATAAACATATAAAGATTCGGCGGAATGACAGGCTGAGCTCCGCCCAGTAACAATGCGCTAAGTGCCATATTTAATGATGCGAGGTTTTTGGAGCTTCAATTAGTGTAAAAGTTCCGTAATTCGACATAATTCGTCGATTTTCGTTGTATTATTTTATTATGTTTTTGCTTATACATGGAAAGAGATCATTTTGAAAATTTGTTTAAAGACCTTCTAATCGGACTTTCAAAACTGTCCGAAAAACTTGGTGGATATTAAAATTGATATGATATAGTAATGAAAATGGAGCAAAATACGTTGCTTTGAGCTCAAGAAAACAACAATTTCAAGAAAACAACAATTTTATTTAGTATCAATTAAAGCAAACATAAATATATTTTATATATAACTAGCAGGACCTTTTTACCAGATATCTTAGGGGACTTGGAGTAGCAAGAGAATGGATAGACTAGAAGGTATATACCTATTACAAAAATACGTCAAAAAGAATCAAGGGTGATACAGGATCGGAGAGTGCAGACCGTAAAGTTTACGCACCCACCCTTGCCTCCTAAATTCTTGGTTGGGTAGGCATTTATGCGAACTTGGTCGTTTATACGTTCCAAGTCGCTTTGTTTAAAATTAATAAAATTTATCTCAGGAGTTAACTTCATTCAACAATAATAATATCAATATCAATTTATCGCATAAATTTAACTATCGAATACAGGTTTGATTATCGAATATAGGTTCGATTATCAAATATAGGTTCGATTTGTAAAATAAAATATTTAATTATTAAAAACATTACGAGCTGAATGTAACAAATTGTTTAACGATTGTATATGCATTGAAAGTCTATTTAAGTTTGTAGCGCAATGCACTACTGCAGGTCGCGCGTGCATCCAATAATGCTTCTCGCAACCACTTATGCAGATCGGCGAGATGCGAAGGATTGACATCGTCAATCAAATTTAAGTAGTAAGCTAACTAGTTTTGATTAAATTGGATCGAAGGAAAATTACTCGATATGCATTTGTTTTACGAATTTTGTGCTGGCCGAAATTAGCGCAAAAAAACTATTCTATAACTCAAAAGTTGATTGACGATGTCAACACATCGTGCATCAGGATCGTTGCTCTGCAAAGCAAAGCAACGGATGTTACTCGTCTAAATTTCTTCGAAGTAGCGCGCGCCACTTTCTTCTCGAAATGGTCCGATGGCAAGTGCTACGAAGTAGCGCGCGCCGGGCCAGACCATTAACAATTTGCTCTAACCAGAGCCCTCTCGCTTGCAGTAGCGCGCGACCGCCGGAGGTCTATCCTACTTGTGAAGGCCTATCCTACTTGTGAAACAAGCGCGTCACGCAGTACGCGTAGGCACATGGCTATGTGAAATTAACAATGGTCAAGAATGCGAAGCAAGAATGCTAGTTTGCGCGGCGCGTCGAAGCGGCATGAACTCAAAAGCTTCTTTTTATGTTATTGATGCACCTGAAGAATTAGAAAAGAGCTATCACAACTTTATTCTGACCCAACAAGTAGGAAGTGTATGCATTTTTAAGGGTCTGATAGGTTTAAGGAAAACGAGTAAGTAATATCCTAATTCCATAATGACCAAAGCACAAAAACAAATCAAATAACATTGTTTTGTATCTTTTTTAGACCATTGTTCAAAAATTTGCAGTATTCTAAATTGCTAAAAAACCGAAAACTCATTGAACTAGAGTGAACTCAGTGATTGTAGGTACATTTATTATAAGCTACCAAGCTAAGACGCGCACCGAGTTGGAGTATCATCCGTTAAACTCAGTGACCATTCAATCAAGTTTTGGAAAGTTCCTTTTATAGTTTTGATAACAGACATAATTATATCATGGTTGGGTATCACCGTTTTGTGAAACTTCAGGTCTTTTTTCGATTTTGACTAATAATCCATCCAATGAGAAAACTGGATCTGTACAACCGTTTAGTATCTTACATGCATAACAAGTATCAGGGAGCGGTATTTTGGAACCTAGGGGCAGCATGCAGAATCAGCAGAAGGGTAGTGCACACCATGATAATGCACATTATTAGCATCTCTATCAATACCATCTAGCAGAGCTTTCCTGCTTGCTTTTAGTAAAGGTTACTCATCAACATTGTTGTTTGGTTGCTTTTTATATGTAGTGGCACAACAACTTAAAGTGCACAGGTGTGCCACGAAAACAGTTCAGGACACAATAAAACCTGAAAAAGCAACCCACATTTATATTCTAAACCAGGTTAGGGTATAAGTGTACAGCTTATGACAACAGATAACTTGCTGGAGGGGGATATTCGGTTGTTTTATACTCTAGCTGGACAAAGAGGGTCCGAAAAAAAATGTTTGGGATGAGATGTGAAAATGTAGACCTCAGCCGATGGAGTTATTTTATTAGGAAAACAAATTTTAGGAAAACAAATTTAAATTTTGGTATTTATTAATCAATGAAACAAGAAATTTCAATGAAACAAGAAATTTAATTTTAGCACATTTTACAGAATAAAAAGATGTAAAACAATTCATAAAATATAATGCCCATTTGGTGTATGACTTTTTGTCCTTGACTGCTAGTTTGGTTTTGGAAGGACAGGTAACTAACGGGGCAAGGAATGCGCGTGCCTGAAAGCTTTTGCACACACCGAAACGCTAGTTCAGTTAGGTTTTTAGAGACAAGGCTCATATTAGGACTAGAAGAAATTTTTTAGTAGACATTAGGGGTTCTGTTTATAGTTGATACTATAGGTTGCAGTCTTGTTGTGACAAAAAGCCTACACTAAAACATGCTTTAGTTTATATTGTGTAGTTCAAGGATATAAAATGTAGCTTCAAGGTGGATATTAAAGAGCTGGCGAAAGATTATGGCCTTTGTATCAATGGTTATAATAAGCTATAAATATCTTAAACTATACAGTGCTAATTAAAAATTTCTTTATACTTCATTCTCAGATTAGATTTAGAAAATTCAAAAAATATACATTTATTTTATTAATACTTTCTCACACATTCTTTACTCACAGGACAAGACTTGGAAAACAGTAGCCTAGGGGAATTTAATTGAGATGTGTGTGACCAGCCAGTTATAATGTTTGGAAAATAATATTTGTGCAGTCAAAATCTTTTACGGTCCAATCAAGCAGGGCGTGGTTATGCTGATTGGCTAATAGCGCACGTTTAAGTTTTCCTCGCAAGCACATTACACTAGTAGTAAAGTCAGTCATTCTGAACTTTGGGGTTAAAAT